GGGAAAAATCCCGCTCTGTACCCTGCTGAGGTGCCAGAGCACCACACTGCTCAACCTGCCACTTCTGGAGGTGCCTTCACGGCTCTGTTCCACACTTGCCCTGAAACACCCGGCTGAATGCAGGTACGTGCCTACACGCAGGGGAGCCAGAAAGGAGGGGAAGCAAGCTGCTCACACAGTTTGAAGCCTGCGTTAATAAAACAAGACGTTCTTCAAAGGATAATTCAAGCCTTGCCACTGCTGGGTGAATGACTTACTGGATGACCATCCCCTGCTCCTTCTTGACTTCTCTTCACAGCCCCATAGCCCACGCAATGCTTTCTGCAAAGTGAGCCGGTTTCCCCGAGGCAGCGCCCTCACCTCGCTCAGCCCACGGTGTGGTGGGTTAAGTGCTTTCCTGGGACAAGCCAGACGTGCTTTGAATCCTCCTCAGCAGAGTAAGGAACTGAATGAACCACCACAGCCAGCCTCCCTGCTGGGTGAGTACAGGGAAAGAAGCATCACCACCGTTTTTTAGAAGGGCTGTGGCTGTGCCACTTCGGTGTGGAAAACCGCACAAACCTGCACACCTGGTGGGACCCTTCAGCAATCAGGTGGATGGACACCACCTTGTGCATCTCATACAGGCACAGGCTTGTGACAAACGTAATGACTTGCACTGCACCCTATGCAACAGCAGCAGTGGCAATGCCTGAAAGCACTGCAGCAGATGCAGTCGAAGCATCTATCACAGCTTTACACAAACTTGAGTTTTTCTCTGGACTGCATGCTCAGGGGACAGCTTTAAGAGCATTGAAATAGAAATTCTAGTTTTGGACTCTAATGCTCCCACAAATAAGTAATGTTCTGCTTGCTTCAGCCAGCCATTACAATAATAAAATACAATAAAAAAACATATGTACCATGGGCAGCAGATGGAGAACCCACTGGCCCTGAAGGCAAGAATTTCTTCCATGCTCTCACTTCTTCCAAACATGTACATTAATATGTGAACCAGGCACAGAAAATTTTTGCAACACAAACACGACAGCTTTTACCTTTGCTGGAGCCTCAAAATCTGTTACGTAAATACATTCAGGAAAGGAATATCCCCCCCCATCCCCTGATGTCTCCTGAAGTTGTTCCATTAAAAACTGCCACACACCCTGCAGGGCAGGTATATTCACAGCTAAGACCCCTGGTCTACAGGAGCAGATGGATGTGGGCAGAAGAGGGGGGGGGTCAGAATACTGCAATGCATCCAAGAAATGATGAGCTATTGTAAAACAGGCAACAACAGGAGATACACAAGGTATCACAGAACTGCTCAGATATGCCTGTAACCAACTTTCTCCTCTTCTCAGAGGAAAACTTTACCTTCTATGTTCATATGAGTGGATTTTGTTGCTGCAAGACTGGTGTATTATCTCAGTGGTTTTGGCACTTACCTTGTACCCCCCCTTCACAGGGGTGACAGACACTTGGATTTTAACCACACATATAAATTACTGAAGAGCTTCATTTCAGAGTGAATCATCAAGGTTTTTTATCTAAGCCTAAACGTTTTGGGTTTTTTTTTCACATTTATCAACCTGCTTTCCAGTGATACCAAAGATAAAATGATGCAATTACACATTTACTCATGACCTTACAACAGGTATGGAAGGATGACCCCACTACACATAGACAAGCATTTCCATCACTTTGCAATCATCTGCTTTATCATTCAACAGGTGGTTAATGGAATTTGTCTTCATGTGTCATCTAGTACTATTTTCAGAGTGTAGCCACACAGCTAACATCAATGATTAACATCTCAAATGCTATCATTTCTACAGTAGTTTTAATAAAAAGGTAAAAAAATCACTTCTCTAAGGACTATGTAGTCCATTATTTGACTTGATTGAAAAACAAGTAATTACAAAAATGAATGTGATAATTATGTTTGAGACGCACCCAAGAGAGACATCAATGAGAAGGAATAACATGGAGAATCCAGCTGATGATACCTGAGTTTCGAGCTTCATTATTGCTGTTTATCTAATCCACCCACCATCAGCCAAGATCTTGAGGTTTTTGTGTGTGCTGAGGTGTGACGTGCTGGTGTGAACACTACCTAACCTTATACTGCTCCTAATGGCAGAACAGGATGGCATGAACAATGGTAAAAACAGATGAAACCTGAGATTTTTAATCTTTATTTTATTGATTGTTTTGCAAATACATAGAAGGACTTCGATGTTTAGTTTGCAGAGCTTACAGTACAACTACATTTTCTATAACATTTCATTTTTTTTACTTTTTCAGGAACAAATGTGAATAAAATATAAAGTAAAATAAGTCCAATGTGATAATACAGTAGAATCCCCTTCGTCAGGACAGAGTATCAACTGTCCTTGTTTTGTGAAGTGCTGCCAAGTGGAGGATAATCTCAGTGACATCCCAATAAGCCTTCATGCATACCATCAACCACTGAAGAGGAGCAAGCTCTCATCCCTCGAATACCAATCATCGCAACTACTGCTCAGAGCATACCTTCCCTGTGAACCACGCTTGCGTCCACAGAGAGGAAAATACTTTGGAGTGCTTTAATTTCTAATCCTACTTTACAAATCAAAATGTGGAGTCACAGCTTGTTGCAATTAGCTTGTGCGGACACGTGACGTTTTCATAACAATACCAATATTCTACCACAATATATTGTCCTCAAGATAAAAAAATTCAAGTGTGACATACAGATATTTGCACCACTGTTGTATAAGGAGAGAGCCTGTTCTCCTTTCTTCCCCAGTTTTCAGCATCATACTGAGTTTTGCTCTCTTGCATTAACAGATACAAATAAGAGAAGACACAGACATCAAATATCCAGCATGCATGACAGTCTTCAAGTACTCTTCCACACTCTTGATCAAGTGTGGTCTCCAAGCTGAAGAGAAAAAATAACCTGTTGCACAGACCTTAGCTGGTTATTCCTCACAACATCCCTGTGAGGTAGGAAGAAAAAGATCCCCTTTTCCAGCAACAGGAGACAAGGCAGAGAGCACAGATGGCATTTCTCAAGGCAATAAGTGGAGAACTAGAAAAGCTGAAGCTCAGGAGTTCTGGCCTCCTAATTCTTTGCTTCAGAAACCAAGGTGCTGAACTCCCAGACATTATCACGTCATTAGTCTTTTTATAGCCATATATTAATGACAACAATGGCTTCTGTGCGTATGCCAGCAAAGCATAGTTCTATGGCAGAAGCAGCATACACCTGATGCTGCCCTCAGACATTTTTCCTGTACTTTATATATGTCAATAAATGTTCACTGTAATTAACTCATCAGTCCTATAACTAATGTAGCATACATAGTTTCAATAGATCAACATTTCATTTACAATTTCTTTAGGACTTCTCCAGCTCTTTAAATATATATATTTTCTCTGGCTAAGTTACTATTAACTCCCTTTCCCTGTATAACAGTTCCTATACTCCTCCCCCCAAACCAGCACCCATTCTGGGTACTCCGTAGCAGAGCTTTGAGTGATGATGAACAAAACACCTTCAGGGATCACACCGATCCCCTCAGAGTAGCTCTTCACCCATCGTTGGCCCTGAAGGCAAAGATAGGCACCTTTTGCTGTGTACAGCACCACAAGGGTCAGAATTGTCATTGAAGTGTCTTTATGGATTGGGGAAGAGGCCTCTGGTCTGCTCTATCCAAAACCGTTCCACACTGAGCTAAAAAGACAACTTCTGTTGTACAGAGACTTTAAATCTGCAAAACCTCTGTGAGAAGAACTTCAGTCCACCTCCACAGCAATGGAAATCCCCAAACTTTAAGGAAGTAACTTGTGTGGAATGAGTGAGTAACACAGGGAATACGCCTAAATAAAGAAAACAGGTGAAAACTAAAGCTAGGTAAAAACTAACTTGTGCTAATCCTGGGATAAAGTATTCTGAAGCACTTTGATCAATGTAGTTTCAAGTCTTTCATGCAAATTATCTATCAACCAAATCCCTTGTATAAGCTTAATCATTAAATTAGCACTAGTCTTCGTACAACGCTTTTCTACACCATGGGCTCAGCATCAGGTCTTGCCTACATATTCAAGCTATGCAATGGCCTACCACCCATTAGCACCCCTGCGTTCAAGTCACGCAACTTAGTATTAGGGAAGTAATTTTGTACTAGCATAACGGTGTTTACAAAGGCATTTTGTTTATTCCTTTGTGGGAAACAGGATAACCTATTCTGGTATTGGCAAGAGATTATCAAAGAATTGCTTAGAGTACTGCAACTAAACAAAATAATCTCTCTAATCAAAACAGTTTTACTGCTATAAAATCCATGCATAAATCAAGACAAATTGTATAACTGACCCACAGAAGAGAAGCATTTCTTATTTTAGAACAGAAAAATGCAGTACAAAGGCTAGTACAATACTGCAGGATTTTCCCATCTGCTTCCCAAGAAATGTGTTACATTCCTTCCGCAACGCACACTATGGTGAATACCTCATCCATCTAGTATTAGAATGCCCTTCTATACCATATCCTAACACTACTCATCACATGTATGATAGGCATATATATATATATATATATATATTTATTTGTGCATCTACATGTTACATGTTTTTCAGTCACTTAATCTGCTACTGTCCTGATGTCAAACATTATGTCAGGAATTATTTCAACTGAAGTGTTTTACGTGGTCCTATTTGTACAAATGACAGAAACCATTATACTTGGACAAAACACTGTATTTTAGTAAATGTGGATTTCCAGTCAATTCATGCTCTGTATAATAAAGACATACTGTGCTGATTTAAGATGTGAGATCCAATGCTGTCATATTACCTATCTGCAAAAATAACAGCGATTTTGTAATTAATAACAGGGAAAGGAGATCTTTATTAAATAGCATTGATTGATTGTCTCATGTCTTCATTCTCACTATCATGAGTTTGGGTTCCAAACTCTTTAGTTTTTGTCAATGCCTGGATAGGCAAGTGGTGCAAACTTACTGCTTTTACCCTTAACCAACTGTATTCCTTTCCAAGTGCCCACAACATTCTCTTCCCCTATTTCTCTATGCAACACTGGAAGGACAGATCTCACTCCAGAAACAATCTTCATTTGCCTTTGAATGGGGAGAAGAATTACAACTGGAGAGTAAGAGTAGTTCATGTAGGAGAATTGTGCAGCTACCAGTTGCCTGCATGGGGAAGGAGACTTCTTAATCGTCCTCCTTCATATTAGCCCCATTCTAGTTTGCATGATTTAAATAGAAGGGGTCAGATTTGGACTTTGGGAGGTGTAGGCTTCTTAATGACAACAGATACACACCATGGAAACAGCAAAAACATTCAGGGCTAAGGACACAGTTTCTTCCACTGGTATAAAGTTTTGTCACAGACTCATTAAAAGGTTGAGGAAAAGGGAAGTCCGTATTCCTCATGTCTCTCTACAGCTTCATACATTTGCCATAAACCACTCCAGAACAGCCCTCCCCCCCCAACTTTTACAGTAGAATGGACATGGTAAGTGCTGTAGCTCCAGAGCAACAGAGTGACTTGTAAGTTTAATGACATCAGGAAAAGCAGAGACAAGTTTTGCATGGTCATTTTCTGCATCTGTGTAAAAAATGTAGTATTTGGCAGAGATACTACAAGGCATTTTTTGACAATGTTCATTAACACTTTAGTATAACATTATTCAAAATTTAGGGAATAAATCCACCCTTCCATGAAAATTGGTAATGTTATGAAAGTAAAATACAATTTATTCTGATAGCCACAGTCTGAGTTTAACTGTCTGGAAACTACTTACAAAGCCCTTTAAAAAAAAAAAAGTAAAATTGCAAAACAGTCATCGATTCCTCTTCACTGAGCTCCCATTTGGAAACAAGCCTTCTGGCAAGTTAAGCCCAGTCTGTATTTCACGTTTAAATCTGCCTCATCGGTATTAGTTTTGGCGAAACCTAGCAAAAAGGAGGGAAAAAACACAACAGTTGGCATACAGATATAGCAATACAACCCACTGTTCACTTCCACCTCTATCAACTATGTGCTACTGATGATTAGAGACACCGTATTTATTTAAACTGATATATTTGCAGTATTTCAGAGATAAACACTCCCACAACTAAATTTTCTGATGCAGGAATGAACGA